ATAAAAGAGTCAAATATAATAATAATTATAATTATAATAAATAATGACATTCTTGACAGAAATAGTCCGTTTAGAAGTCAAGCAATCCCTGGTTGTCCCACACATTGGCCGATCGGTTCTGTTGCTGGAGTTGTGTCTGTTGTTGAGTCAATTGGTTGATGTTTGGCGCCTGTAGTCTGAACTGGACCTGTCCTCCCTGTTGCGGCACTAATCCAATGTTCTGTTGCTGTTGGACAAGGATCTGTTGTTGTGGTAAATTGGCTCTCATTTGTTGCTGTTGTTGCTGCTGTTGGTGTTGTTGCAGGAGATGTCTGAGCTGTGGATTGTTGTTAATACCACCGGACATACCACCGGACACCTGCTGCTGCTGCTGTTGTTGCTGTTGCTGCTGTTGTTGTTGAAGTTGTTGGAACTGTTTCTGTTGCAGTTGTTGCTGAAGTTGTTGTCTGATCTGAGTTTGTTGTATCTGTTGGTTCTGTTGCTGTTGAACCTGTTGTTGGTCGAGAGGCACGTGTTGTTGCTGTTGCTGCTGGAACTCCAACTCTTTCCTCTGCGCCTCTTTCAACGTCTGTTCCAACTGTTGAATGGCTAACAAATTCTTCTGTCTCTCAGAAGTGATGGCTGACTGAAAACGGGGCGCACTGTTAGGCAACTGTTGACCCCCTGTTGGGGTTTGTATGGGATTCTGCATTAGACCGAACTGTTGATTGGATTGGGCACCGGTAGGATTGGGCGGTTGTTGTGGCGTTGGAGGCATTTGCGGTCCAGTGTTTTGGACCAAAGTCTGAAGATTGCTGGCAATGAATGCGTTTTTTTGTGAATTATTAGGCGGTCCCAGCGCTTGGTTTAGGAGTACATTCTGGTTGACATTCTGCTGGGGCTGTTGTCCGCCCACATTCATTGGCGCCGAACCGATACCACTGGACAGTGAGTTCAGAGGGATAGACGATATGTTGGCGCCCGTCGTCTGTTGCATAGTTCCGCCGGACATTTGCTGCAGCTTTCGATTCAATTAGAAAATATCATTAGATTTCAACTCAAATTCATATCTCAATGAAAATAAAGTTCTGATTAAATAATGGCTAAGAGTTAGCCGAAAGCACCCGAAAGGCAGTCTCGCCGGTAATGATCGGCAAAGTGTTCAATACCTGGAATATACTGTTTGGCGCGGATATTGGTTGCGAAAGTTGTGGCGGTTGTGTGGACTGAACTGATAACTGAACCGGCATTTGTCCGCCTATTTGTGTCTGTGCGCCAGCAATGGTTACTTGCTGTGAACCTAAACCTACTGGCATTTGTCCGCCCGGGTTCACCATCTAATAACAGTTAGTCTCCATTAACTCAACATTCAATACAAACCACATATGGTTTATGTTTTTCATATCATTGTTTTGATTATTTTATTCCGTTTTGTGAATAGTCATGTTAATTGCTTTTAATTGCTTCATTTTTGTATTTTTTAATTTTATTGCTTAAAAAACTATTTTTAATTCCTTATGATTTCAATCAATTTATAACTCAATAATCAATAAATAAATCAAAACATAATATATCATTAAACGTGTCAAACTTAATTGGTATAAATATTAGTAATAAACTAAAAAAATATAAAACAAGACAAATGGGTATAAATGATGCTTTTGTCACCATTTGTCCCTCACATGCTTCTCACCATTTTCTGCTGCTGTTGTTTGGCCTGTTGTTCCTTCTTATGGGTCTCAATGATCTCTCGCATAGCCTTAAAGAACTCTTCCTGATCGTGGGGAACAAACCCCATATACATTCTGTCCACACCACCAATACATTCAAATTATTCAATTCTTATAGTCAAGGCATAGCTAACAATTGTTTACCTCTTATCGGGCATATATAAGATAATCATCATCCGAATGCTTAGTGCAGTAAATTGAATGCATCCCACCTATGGTTTCAAACAAATCACATTAAATACTGATTATACTGACAGTTATACTGATTATACTGGTGTTGGCAGTTAAACACATACCCAGTTAGTGCTCATAATTTTGCTCAGTTTGGACAGACCCTGTTCGGGGTCACCATTGAAGTGCAGACTTATATGGTATGAGCCGTTCTTAAGCATTGGAAACAAACGCATAATCAGTTGTTTGGGCAGAAGAGAGAGAATCAGCTTTTCGGGCCATTTCTCGGCATTGATTTCCGGCTCTCCGTTCACGACATGACACGAAATCTGACAGTTCAGTGAATATGTGATACGATTGGCAGGATTGACAGGTCCGGGCTGTACGGGCTTCTCCTGATACTCTATAGTACCGGCCCAAATGCGACGCCTTTGTTCGGGTTTCATTTGAGGGGAGGGAATACCGGCGCCGGTGTTCACAAACTGAGGCTGAGATGAAATCATTTGACTCATTGTAGTGACCGGTTGTTGGAACGACTGTTGGGGCTGTGACTGCATCGGAGAGTGGACTGATTGGGGGGAGGGAACCGCTCTTTGCATCGAGAGAGGCGATGGTTGGGATTGTTGGGGAGACGGAGCCTGAGGTGCAGAGAATGGCAGAGACACCGGCTGTTGGCCTCGTATTTGTTGACCCGGTCTTATGGCCGGTGTGTTCACAATATTTTGTTTGATAGGCTGAGGGGGCTGTGACACCAAACTAACTAATGTGGGCGCCGTTTGGTGCTGCAGACCTGGGCCTGGGCCTTGACCTTGACCTGGCATTTGTGGGGCACTCGTCCTGATGGGAGTTCTCATATTCAAGTGGCCCTTCAATACAGACATCACAGGAGTGGGCGATGAAGAAGAGGAAACAGAAACTGTGGGAGCGTTTGGTTGTGAGGCCCACGTCGATATGGGAACGGGAGAGCCGCGGCCTTGCTTTACGATAGTATCGGGCGTTGGAGTCTTGTTCGGAGGAAAGGGAGACGGGATATCAGTGTTAGGGACGGGCGGATGGGGTAATCTAGTCATGAGTTGCGGATTCGTTGCATGCATTTGAGAGGTTGGGTTAGAAGTGGACGTCACGTTAGAACTCATGGTATTACTCATAGTAACCGATTGGAGGCCCGGAGAGAGCGATCTCTTAATGCCCTGCATTTGACTCATCGGAGAGTTCTGTGATGTCTTCTGCTCAGCCGTTGCGGTCGATTGAGAGCCCAATTGAGGGCTGAGGGGTCGCTCCTGGAGTGAGAAACCGCGCAACAAAACTAAGTGTCTCTTATCTTTGGCGAAGTTCTTGTTGAGGGCGTGGGTTAGGTCTCCACCGGCCTCTTCATACAACTTGTATAGGAAACTCATTTTTCTCGGAGAAAATACACTGAAATTGATATTCCGTTCGGACATCAGAGTCGCCAGTCTTTCGATCTTTAATCCCGAATACGTCTGACTCTCGAGTGTTTGCACCGAATATGGCGGCGAATTGCAGATAAGTATACAGTGTTTGGTGGTCTTCGCCATTATATTGGAAGCGGTGTTCTCTCGAAGTGCTGTGAAGTCGTCGAACACCTGAAGAGCGGTACTGAAGCCTTCGGTGATATGCGAACACGACTCGCCGGCGCCGCCAATGAATCTAAACATACAATCCATTAATGGCTTTCAAAATGATCATCAAATCAATGGCTGATTCCGTACTGAATTTTATCCAACCATTGCAGAAGTCTGTGAGAACTGGTGGTCGGAGCGAAGCACTGGGAGGCCGGCTCTGGAGCGCAGTCAACGGTCATGAATGACACCAAAGCATATAACGTGCAGTTGTACTAAGACATGAAGATATGGATCAGATTATAGACTCAATCAATATGTCGTATCTAATCGTCAATTATATGGATACGTGTGACACGACTGCTACCCTAACCTCACCATTCATTTCAGTTTAAATGATAACTAAATTTAACTCAAATCTAAGAGTAGACCATAAATATGGTTAAAACAAATCAAGACAACCGGGACTCTAATCGTGGTCTCAATCAAAGTCATGTCATTTGAATCATTAAAAGAGTGAATACATTGTTATCGAAGCCATAGTCGCGTTCGTCAGGAGGTCCGCCACTGAAGTACCTGTCATTACACACAGCAATCAAATGAATAAGTGGTCAAAGAGTGGATCCAATCTGTGTGATGACTCACTCGAGAGTTGGGATAATGTAATTGGTTTTAAGACTTTCGACATAAGGGCTGAGATTAGCGGTCGCCTCGACCAGGAAGACCACGTCCGCCACGGGCTGATCACCATTGCTCACCACCATTGCGATGATTACGAAGCACTGGACCAACACCACCGACAATCACTGGACTAATGTGCGGCAGTGTTTGCGTGAGTGTGCGGTTCGTGAGTCACGAATCACTGACACATTTGATGCACTCTTTATCTGTCACTCCAATCAAGTTTTGCTTTCAATTCACTCATTCCTCTCGTATATGACGTGACATTTGGGTGAGTGAGTGGTTGTGTGATATCTACTGTAGTACAGTATGTTAGACAAAGGTTCGCACTAAAACTGCACTATACTGTACTGTACAGGTACTCTGCAAGGTAGATTATTTATAGAAACTATTGTCTAAATTGTATAATAAGATAATTTTGATAAGAAACAAGCTTAATTATTATAACTATTAATTCCGTTAGAGAACTTTTAAATATGTGCAATATTAGATACAAGTTCCTTGTTGGTTAAAGTTTCAATTATTATATTTTTGGATAAATAAATATCTAAACGGGTTTATTTAAAATTAATCAAATTATTTATTTAAATCAATTATATTTCATGAGTTCAGTTCATATTCCACTTGAATATGTCAGAGAAATCACTTTTTCTGTCCCAGAAATCAATGGCACTGATCCGATAAAAACCAGATACAGACGATGTTTCAGTCAAATCTTTAACAAAATAGAAATTTTTACAATTTATACACAATATTGCACTTAAATTATTTAATAAACTGACCCGTGAACTGATACGATGGGTAAATGATATCATTTTTGTTGATTCTTTTATATGAATCATTGGAACCGCTTCTGGAATATTCTATTTCATAGGTCTTAAGACACCTTTATTTGGAAAAATTATAAGAATATTAACTCAAACTTAAACAATATTCTTAAGACCTAGTATTAGAAGTGATCCAATTGAGTGAAACTGAATTATTAGTTATATGAATGCCTCGAAGTTCTAGCACCTAGGTAAAATAAAATTCTTAAACTATGAAAAACCCATTCTTAAAGTTTTTAAACTTGTTTACTGACTCTTTGTGGAGAACTATTTGTTTTGCGACAAATGTGAATCAAACTTATGCCCGGGAATGCAATTTCCAAATTATGACTCCAAACACTTGTGTTTAAATTCAGGTTTTCTGAATTAACTTTAATAAACGGTTCCTTTGATACAAATGGATTAAATTAAATTATTAGTTTAATTTGAAGGATTGTATGACTACAGTATTGAAGTAACCAAATATTCTATATTCTTAGCACTTTCTAGACTTGTTTAATAATGTAGAGTTTTTAAATTATTAATTAGATTTTCAAATAAATTTCAATGAAAGTCTAGTCTACCTCCTGTTCCCTCATTTGTTGGAATAGTTGCTCTGAAGGATAATCGGGACAATTATTTTGAGACCAAATATTGAATGGATTGGTGTAATTGTTATCCATAATATATTGAGACCATTTCCACTCGTCATCAGATGTTATATTTTCATTAAAATTTAAATTCAATTGAATTGAATTTGTTTGATTTGATAAAAGTGTGTCCAAAGAGTTAACAAATAGAAAAGAATATTCTGTTGGTCTAAAGAATAATTGTAAATTTCATTAAACTATATGATTATCTCATAACAAACTTGTGTTCAATATTGTGGTCTTCTTTAAAAGCGGTTGCAATCAAACGAGTGGTTGAATTTGTTGTTGAATTAGATTTAAAATGAATCAAAGTGTTTCCCAATTTGGATAATAAGCCCATTATAGCAAATGATGGCTTTCGCACAAATTGTGTGTAATGTGGTGAAGTGTTATTTATTTGAAACCTTGATTAACATCATACTTATTTGACATTTTTATTATAATCAAAGAGAAATACCTAGCTAATAAAGTCCGTTGAGTAAACTGAAATGGGTAAAAACTCAAGAATCCATGATCGAACCCAAACAGTGACATTTTGTTGGTGTGATTATATTGGTATATATGTCGGGCCACCACTTGTACAACAGTAGCGGCATATCTATTGTCTGCCCTCCACGTCCTGTTCTGATTCCAACCGGCCTTTCAAATGAACACATTTTATTAAAAAAAAGTTTCTATAATTAAAATCACTTAAAACAAACTTCAGGATCGCCTTCATTATCAACAAAAGGTATTTGTTTTAAAATCTGAAATTCTTTCTCGATATCAGTCAATGCCTTGTCTTCCGATGCGTCCGTATAAGACGACTGACCTTTCTTTCCCTTTTCGTGTAATGATATGAAGTCTAACTTAATATCTCCTTTCTTTCCACTCAAATAATTGGAACCATTCATGAAATGCTTGACTAAATCAATAACAAACGGACCATTCTTTATGTCCTGAGGCCAGTGATCTCCCGGTCCTCCAAATATCAAAGTATTGTCCACTTCTTGAAGCGCTAGAGAAGAGGCGTCATAATAGTTAAGAAACCCTTTTTGAGTGACTTTAATGTTGTCTTTGAAATGGTTTTTGAATTCAATTGACGGCTCATTCCAAGACTCAAAGTTCCATTGCTTCACGTAATCGCTTCCAAACATTTCTATATAACGAGTGACCAATTCTTTCACCAATTCTTTCCATTGGATAACTTGAGTCCGATTTTCAAAATCATTATAAATATTTGACGGATTTCCCATTATCTCAAACCCTGGTTTTAAATGATAATCTCTGAGTCGAGTCAGAAATTTGTCCAAAAGTGTATAATTGTATTGGATCTCATTTGAGACTAGTTTGGCTGAAATCAGTTTCAATAGATAATGGATTCTAATTTGTTTGATGCCATTGTGTGGTACGGAACCAATTAGAGCCAAATTCTGGTTCATGTCATCGCTTAACATATATTGAGAGGAATTGTCGTGCGGGTCGGGAGGACTTTATTTGTTAGCATATCATTTCCAAAGTAAATATCAAATTCTTTATTGAGTTTAATAATGAAATGATTACTGTATTGCTTACCAAAATCCAGTACTTTCCTACAGAATATATTTAAGAATTACATTAAAATAAATATTAGTTTAAACTGCATGTCAGATCTATAGCAACACAAATTCATTTAATTATTCCTGAAATTATTTCATAAACTATATACTGTACAGTATTTTATTAATTATCAGTCAACTCATTGCGTTGAATATACGGAATCAATTCCAAGATACACGACAAATATTATATTTAGCCATAACTGTAACCACAAGAATTCTTACCCAAAAATGATCCAGAGTATTTCCTACATCACCAGTGTTAGCAGTGAATTCAATTTGCTCTTTATTTAAATCATAATAATCTTTGTCGCTATATTTGTCAATACATTTAGTTTTACAATAATCCACAGTAATTAATATCAATAAGAAATGTATAATATTTATCAAATGTTTAGACATTTTTAAATATTCTTGATTTGTGTTAAATATTTTGTATAAATTGTTTTGTCATTTATATACCAAAATAAGTCTAATCTTAGTTCGAGTCGAGAACTTCGAGATTAGATTTGAAGTTTATTTTAATGAAATAATAGCCAACTGTTAAGAGACCTACTTTAAGGCTCTTGAATATACTATATCTCAACAAAACTGACGATTATTTAAATAATTAAAACATTAGATTATATAACGGTAAGTGATTTTCACTATTCCTAGATTATATAACATTACACTACTGTTCAAATATATACCAGCATACTCTTATGGAATACTTTAATATTTTGATATGTCCCTGTAAAGTCCCAGTGGGGTATTCGTAGACAAAAACAATATGAATATACAAGTATCAAGATATAATTAAATACATTGTATTCTAATAGTAAACTCCATGACAATTAAGTCAACAGTTGTTTAATATTTGAAAGCATTTAAACATTTTCATCATTAATATGATTACCGTATTATTAAATAATTAGCAAATATTGAGAAAAGATGTCTTTATCTATGATTACTTCAAATGAATACATGAATTGAATTGTAAAATGAAAATATTTATAAAACGAATGTAATGACAAACAAATGCCTAAACTTTTAATTTCCTAATAATTGAAAAATTTTATTTGAAATGATATCATATTCTTAACATTTATTCATTTTGATAGCATTAATCGATTCAGAATTTATTTGTTGGTTACTTTGATTTTGCAATTTTTGTTATGAATCAAGAATTGAAAACAACAAAAAATAATTTATAAATAAAAATAAAAATTGCGATCATTTTATACATATATTTTACGACAAATTTGTTTTGAATATAAACTGAAAAATGATAAAAATCTGGGAACTGGTAGAACCGCACGAATTGAAAAGTTTTGATAAAAACAAATAAATAAAGTTTAAGCCGTTTTACCGATTGTTTGAATACATAGCTGTAATTGCTGTAAATTATAGGTAATAATAATGAATCGTTTTTCAATGGATTATTCGTTTACTTTAAGATGATTTCAATTATTATTAAGAATTGAATAAAAAATACATATAATATTAGGTAACGGTTTGGGGATTTAATTCTCCTACAGATGCGACTGGAGGTGGAGTCCCGCTGTGGCCAGTCGTCAGGCGCTGTGGATCTATGAACGAACGGGCCGTCGAGTCCTTTACAACGGGATCTGTCATACGAGCACACAATACATGGCATAAGACAAGCATTCACAGCAATACCACTCAATTCATACAGAAGTACGCGTGATCCATGGCCTCCCTGGCCGTCAGCCTATCCGTGTGATCATAGCGTAATAATTTGTCTAAAAAGTCCAGTGCCTCGGGACTAACCAAATGGGAGTTCTCGCTGTGAACGAACCGTTCCCATCGCTTCCTTGAATGCCTGCAAACAAAAGATAACCATTTAATGTGATAACCATTTCATGTGACAAACCATTGGTGAAAATAATGGCACTTAAGAGCAAACCTGCCGAGGATGTCATCAAATCTCGGGTCGAGTTCTATTTGATATTTATTGAGATATTCGTATAAGTCTTCGGTGCCCAAGACTTTAGCGATTCTCACGAGTTGATCATAATTGTCGTGTCCGTGAAAGAAGGGCTCCTTTCGGAATATCATCGACGCCAACATACAGCCCAATGACCACATGTCCAGTGAGTAGTCATACATCTGATAGTCCACCAGCAGTTCCGGGCCTTTGAAATATCGTGAGGCCACGCGAACGTTGTATTCCTGGCCGGGATGGTAGAACTCAGCCAAACCCCAGTCTATTAGCCTTAACTGCAAACCAAAGCAAACAATGCAATGAATAAACGACAGAGAGTTTGAGTGCAAGAGTGGACACACTTTTCTATTTTCGTGATCTATCATAACGTTGTGGGGCTTGACATCCCTGTGCATTATTCCCATACTATGGCTGTAGTCCAAGGCTTTGAGTAATTCATACAAATAGAAGCGGATGTCGTAATCGGTGAGCGTTTGATACAACTGTTTGAAGTCAGTGTTGTTCACGTGTTCAAAGATGAGCGCCGGTGTCCGAGACTGCCATCACAAGCATAAGCATCATAAGTACAACTAGTTAAGCAAAACCTCAATCAAACACAAACCACAGCGTCTTTGACGACCGCTTGCAGGGCTATGATATTTGGTCCGCCCCTCAGGTTCTCTAAGATCTTAATTTCACGTTTGATTTTCTTCTTCTTGACGGGCTGTCAGAGCAACGAGAGGTTAGTGGAAGTGCTGGCAATGGGTGTCATCGAGACAGTGAGACATACCTTCAGTATTTTGACGACACACTTCTCATTGTTGGTGATGTTGATGGCCTCGAAGACCTCCGAGTACTTGCCGCGACCCAACTTCTTCACCAGTTGGTAGTCGTCTTGGTTGCCCCACTCGACCACATGTGACTCGTAGTCCCAGTAGTCTCTCGATCGGTGAGAATTCACGTCCGCGTAAACTCTTGAACGCGACGGTAATGGCATAACTGATGAGGAAGAGGTCCACAAGACTCGCGAATATATCCCACTGATAGCTATGATATCGGTTTTGACATTCAGTTCCCTCAACACAAACAGTGAACAATAGATCGACTTCTTTATGTGATTGGACACCAAACCACTCACTAAACCAATGATGGCATCAATCGGTTCAACCCTATCTACACAGCCATCAGTGACAGAGACAAAGACAAAGGCAATCAATTGGTGGTTAGATATCAACAAAAGGTGTCAGTAATCGAGAGACCAAATGAGTGACCATTGAATGAAAGGCTGTATTGAGTGGTGAAGTGAACGCCGGCTCTGAATAGCCTCGCGTTGAAGCCGTCATTCAATGGCTTTATAGTCAATACATTCAAAGAGTGGTCACAAGAATTGGTGGCAAAAGGTCTATATTTACCGAAACAAAGGTATCAATGAGTGTATGAATGGCTTGTCATATGTGTGGATGCGATGAGTGTCTCATTCACTCATTAAGTCATTCACTGAACACTCAGTGATTGCTATGAAAGCAAAGATGGAGTCCAACCAAACCCTACCCTCAGTCGAGTGGGCACTGAGTCTGACTCAACGGCAACAGTTGACTGCAAACGCCGTTGACAGACAATACAGTTCTCGCCTCACGTTTAAAGAGATGAAATACTGCACACAACGTATGGATTGAGTGCTGACATGCGCTCTACACCGATGCCACACAGCATAACCCAACGCACAATACTGTACCGCTACAGACAATACAGTTCTCGCCTCACGTTTAAAGAGATGAAATACTGCACACAACGTATGGATTGAGTGCTGACATGCGCTCTACACCGATGCCACACAGCATAACCCAACGCACAATACTGTACCGCAACCACTACACCCTCCCCCACCCCACTCCAACCCACCCACACCTCCGTCGAGTAGGCCTCCTAACATGCAATTTATTCTCCCATACCTAACCAAATCAATTCATAGGCTTTCTAAGTGTATACAATTGATATTATAGGTTGTACTGGTGCTCAAAAGTTTTGTGCCTTTGTGCCGCACTATTTTACAATCTGTATGTAGCATGCACATTTTGCATATTTGTTGCATAACACTCAAATACGCCGATTTATATGATACTAATAGTGAAATAGTTTGGAGTCTATTAACACGAATGTGTTTTCGAGACGTTTTTATAACACTATTAAGCGATAAGTGTATGAAATGAGACCACAATTACATTTGTGTTTAGAAATCATTTTCAGCAAAAGATTAGAACTAAAGATATGAATGAAGTTATAGTGAGTATAGCAGTGAACACATTGGCGTCTATTGGGAAGACTTTTAATTCATTTNAATGAGACCACAATTACATTTGTGTTTAGAAATCATTTTCAGCAAAAGATTAGAACTAAAGATATGAATGAAGTTATAGTGAGTATAGCAGTGAACACATTGGCGTCTATTGGGAAGACTTTTAATTCATTTGATGAGATATTATAGTCTAATAGACTCTAACATTATTAGCACTTCTAATTTAGTAATTAATTTACCAGTAATGCTGTAATAGTATGTGAACTTTTATTTAAATGTCACAATAATTTAATATTTGAGTGTACTTGCAAAAAAATAAACTACTTGATCCATTAAACCATATATTAAAGCTTAAATTTTATATCACTTTAAAAGTAATAAAATCTAAAGAATCCAAAGATTTAATTGATATGATTGAAGATGTGATGGAGTGGTAGTGAGAGGACTGGTATTTGTTTCAAATACAGCGCCTCCAAAACGCTTGAACCCAAAAAAGGCGTAAAAATCCCCGACTTTTAAGTAGAAAATCGATGGCACAGAGAAAGCCCCGAAATTGAGTGCATATTAATTGGCGATTAAATATTGAATTTTTCAAATTAAATTCAAATATGAAATGAAAAATAAGTAATTATAGAGAGAATGCATTTAAAAAGAGACACAAATGAGTGTATGTTTGTCAGGAAAGGGATGGGAATGAGTGTTGAATTGAATGAGTCTATTGTGTTGTGCGAGTGTAAGGGTTGTCTGCATTTCAGGGCATTTGCATTGAGAGTGGCTTTCATTGTTGTGTCCGCTTTCACACCGTTTACTGACTCTCTGTTCCCACACTTGGAGACACACTTCGGGCCATCGCTGTCCACATCACATGCAGACATCACTCAATTGATTCCCAACGACACTCCTCTCACGCCATTCACACCATACTGTCGCTGACAGACAGTACTTCCAGTCAATCCATACGTTTCGCACAGTATTTGACTGCAAATTAAAGGTTTGTTTCATTGAATTGTATGAAAAGTTTGCGTTTAATATGGAGTTAAGCGTAAAACACATTCATTTCTAGAAATCCTATACTTATTAGCCATTTAACGGCTGATTATTATCTCATGACTTGTTTTTCAATGCGTTTCTCATTCATTGACTCATTTGATGTCTTTAGCCGAAAGGAGTTGATTGTTATCACCATTTCTGGCCATTGATTGTCGTTTTAGACACCATTTGCTGTATTGAGACATTTATATCAATCCATTCACTCGAAGAGTGTTTCAATCAAAGAAATCGTGAGAAATGCCGAACTCTTCCTCACCGGAACCGTCGGATCGAAGTGAAGACAATTCATATAATAGTGATTCAAATGCTAATCATAACAACAATAATAGTTATAATGAAAACAATAGTGAGAGTGAAGTCAATAATGATTCAGACAATGATTCCGATGACGACAAGCCATTAGCCAATCGGTTGAACACAACCAACGATGGAAGCGATTCCGATGAGAATAATGGTAACAATAATGGCAACGATTACGACAGCGAATCACAGTCGCAGACAAACAACAACCATAGCTCTCAGTCCATCAAACGAGAGAGAAGTGACTCGGAGGAGGACAGCGACGACGAGCCGCTCTCCAAGAAGTTGAACAAAAGCGTGAAGAAAGAAAAGAGCGATTCCGATGACAACTATTCGCCGAAATCCAAGAAAGAGACGAAAGTGAAGAGCGAGAAGAATGACGTGAAAGTGAAAAAAGAGCCAAAAAGTGCGAAACGGAAGAAGGACTCGGATTATGAGAGCGATTACTCGGACGATGAGGACTACGGCCATAAAAAGAGTAAAAAGAAATCCAAGTCTTATTCGGATGACGACAACGACTACAAAGACTCGAAGAAGAAGAAGAAGTCGTCGAAAAGTGGTAAAAAAGACGCGAAGAGTGACACCAAGAATAAGAAGAGCGTTAAAAAAGAGGTGAATTCGAGTCCAGAGAAGAGTCCGAAGAAGAAAGTGAAGAAAGAGGAGAACGAGGAGCACATCTGGAAGTGGTGGGAGGAGGAGAGGCCCGGGGAAGGCATCAAATGGAAGACGTTGTCACACAAGGGACCGGTGTTTCCCCCGCCGTACGAACCCCTCCCGAAAAGTGTGAAATTCTATTACGAAGGAAAGCCATTGAGGCTAAAGCCAGAGGCCGAAGAAGTGGCGGGTTTTTACGCCCGTATGTTAGACCACGACTACGTCACCAAAGAGGCCTTCAATAAGAACTTCTTTAAGGACTGGAGGAAGACTATGACTGAAGACGAAAAACATACGATAACTGACTTAAAGAAATGTAATTTCTCTGAATTGGGCACTCATTTCAAAGAGGAGTCCGAAAAACGCAAACAAAAGACAAAAGAAGAGAAACAGGAGATTAAGAAACAGAATGAGAAACTCATTGAAGAGTACGGCTATTGCATAGTCGACGGACACAAACAAAAGATCGGGAACTTCCGTATCGAACCGCCCGGACTGTTCAGAGGCCGCGGAGAGCACCCAAAGATGGGTAAACTGAAGAAAAGGGTTCGACCCGAAGATATCATAATAAACATCGGCAAGAAAGCAGAGGTACCGCCGGCGCCGTCGGGTCGCAAGTGGAAGGAAGTGCGTCACGACAATACGGTCACGTGGTTGGCCTCCTGGACCGAGAATGTGATGGGAAACGTGAAGTATATTATGTTAAACCCGTCGTCGAAGCTCAAGAGTATCAAAGACTGGCAGAAGTATGAAAAGGCCCGCGAATTGAAGAAATATATCTCCAAAATCCGAGACGACTACAGGTGTGACTTCAAGGCGCGAGAAATGGTGAAACGGCAGCGCGCCGTCGCTCTCTATTTCATCGATAAGTTAGCCCTAAGAGCCGGTAATGAGAAGGAAGAGGGAGAGAC